TCTTTGTTTGTAACGTGTTCTGTCTAGGATATTTTCAGAATTCTTCAATACACCTACAGATCGACTAATTTTATTTTTTCATTGAAGTCGCATTCAAGGTCCAAGATTCCATTCCATAAAACAAAGTCGAAAAAACATAGTGGAAAAAAATTATTAGGGTGGTAATAAATTAGTGACAAATGGGTGAAAAAATATGCCATAAGAAAAAAGCTTTTATTCTAAATTCTGCTAGCTTGAACCTTAAGCCAGCAGAGTCGCTCCCATTAAGGGTGGTTTGGTGGTGAAAAATTATTAGGGTGGTAATAAATTAATGAAAAATGGGTGAAAAAATATGCCATAAACAAAAAGTTTTTTTTCTGAATTCTGCTAGCTTAAATCTTAAGGCAGCAGAATCGCTCCCATTAAGGGTGGTTTGATGGTGAAAAATTATTAGAGTGGTAATAAATTAGTGAAAAATTGGTGAAAAAATATTACGTAAGTTAAATTGGATTCCGCTCATTTGTCCCCGCTGGCTTAAGGGTCCTTAGTAACAAGACAGTTTCGTACAATTGTTGAACAATGATAAGGTAAGGACATACAAACAGTAGGCGAAAAGTTTTTAATGTTTATTTTAAATTACATAAAATAAGTACTTTATGTTTATTTACAATATTTGTTTAAAATATTAAATACATAAAATATGCAAATCAGCATGCTTGTTTTAAAGAAGAGTTTTTCTCACAGATTTTACCTATTAACTAATTGAAGTCTTTATATTAAAATAACTGATATTTTTTCCAAAGAGAACCAAGTAAAATGAGAAATTAAAGAGCTGTATTCCAGAATTATTTAGTATAATTTTTATGGTACATTTGTCTTCTTTATACTGCAAATTTTATCTAAAGAAAGATTGACGCTCTCGTACCAGCTATTTCCTAATGGCAGAATTAGGAAATTATTTTATATTTTATTATTTTTCTTTTACTTTTTAATCTAGATTTTCCCTTAGCAAGTTAAATCACTGGTTTTTCGGTAATTTTGCCATTTTGTTTATTTTGAATCTTGTGGTACCTTGCTTTATTTTTATTCTTAACTTAACTTAACTTGCTCCTTTACACTTATCTGCTGATGTATTTATCTTAACACTTATATGATATTTAGTATACATACATAAATTATAAGCATACTAGAGGTAAAGGCATGGGCACACTTGTCATGCAGCCCTCCGATCATACTCCGGTCTAATATTGCTGCATAACTCTGGTTGGTAAGGGACCGGAATGTAATGATCACACATGTCATGCTAGCTTTCTACTTATTTGCAATTTACATTAGTTTATCTTGTCAATAGATTGTGGAAGGTACTGTACGCCTAATGTTAAAATATTATACTAATCGTGATTTAGCTATTGTGGCTATCTGTCTGAATGAGCAAAATATAATTACAAAAAAAATGTTCCTATAGACCAAAGAATGTAGGTACTGGGTACATGATGCTTGTCAAAAAGTTTACACATGAGAGAAAGAGAGAGAGAAAGAGTTTTACACGAACAAGAAGAACACTTTTACGTTATCTGTTAGATGACAAAACTAAATTTTTTCAATAATTCCGAATACTGATATTTACGTTCAATAAGTTGGAAATTAAATTGAAAGAAACATTGTCCAGACAAGACAAATATTTTAGAAGATCTAGCATGTCCAGACAGCATTTGGCAGTGCTTTAAAGTAAAATAGTATTATTATTATTATTATTATGTAGTACTATATTGGATAAATTATTTTTATTATTTTTATTATCCAGATTTAGCCATACGGCTCACACTCCCTCTAAGGGGAAAATTCACTCATCCCAGATACCTACGGTATCAAAAGGATTGAGCTCTGGTGGGACTCTTTCCGTGTTATCGAGCCCTAGGTGACTTGGTATGTTGGAGTATCTCCCAAAAATTTTCGAACACATCTGGACGTCGCGAGGAGTACAGATTTCTGCATGGCCCTATAAAGATGTTCATTTAGACCCAGCTGTTTTATGTTTGCTAGGAGGTTTTTGGGAATAACACCAGTAGTAGATAGAACACTAGGTACTGTCTGGGTACTTTTCATTCTCCATTGTCTCCTGATTTGTATTTCTAGATCTCTGTACTTGGCAATCTTTTCGTTGTATTTAATACCTAAATTATTGGTGTTGGGTATCGCCACATCAATAAGTGTTGTTTGTCTAGTAAGTTTATTAACTAGTATGAGATCCGATCTATTATGGGCCACTGGTTGGTCTGTAAGCACAGTGCGGTCCCAGTATAGCTTGTAGTTGTCATTTTCAAGCATTCTATCAGGGGCGTATTGATAATAAGGAAGATGGTCGGTTTGGAGAAGTCCCAGTTTGTCAGCTAGTTCTTGGTGGATAATCTTTCCTACTGAGTCATGGCGTTCTTTATAATCAGTACCGACAAATGCCTGGCAGCCACCGGTAAGATGTTGGATGGTTTCTTGGGCTTGGCATCCATATCGGCATTTGTCATTTTGGACTTGAGGATCTTTAACAATATATTTCAGGTAATTTTTAGTTGGAATAACCTTTGGAATAACCACTTTTAAATTATTGGAACTACATATCCTTTGTTCATTTGTATACTCTCGATACTGAACATTTCACTTCGTACTTAGTAAGTGTTCTCCGTTAATTTTCACTATGTTCATTGTTTCAAAGTCTTCTTTATATTTTACCAATTTTAGTTATATTAAGTATTATTGTGTCTAATTATCATCGTCTACAACGAGCTGTTCCTTAAGTTTTGATTTATTCAGAAATGTCTTCATGTAATTAATGCCATCTTTTTCGTTTTTGCTTTGAAGATCGTCCAGTAGATCTGCTTTTATGTGCAATACCGTTCGGTACTTTGTTCAAAACCACTCTGATTGTACTTGTTTTTATTTATCCATTTCACTACGTCATCGTTTTCACACTTATATTAAGAGGTCATGATATAGCAGTTTATTTGCTTATGTTCTCACTAGATCTTCCGCTTTTTTTCGTTTAATAAGCAATTATGTTCATTGGCGGAATAATACCTCTATGAAAGTTTGTTACTCTATTATACTTCTTCTACCTATTGGTAATTTATCTCTTGTTATTTTGACCACACGGGTATCCCCAATCTACTTATGTGGTTATTCCATTGTTTTTTCTGTTTAGTGCCCATTTGATGTTACATTTTCTTTTAATGTCTTCACTCCCCTTTCGATATCTTAGATTATTTTCTGTTATTCTTCTTATTACTCTCAACTCTGCAGTTTCCAGTAGCCTTTGTGTTGTAACTGTATCGGGTACTGCTATTATTGGTCTTAAACTGAATTTATAAATTCTTGATTTTCTCTCAGTATTATTGGTTTGGTTTCTCCATAAAATGTTATTAAGATATATTTATAGTCTATTTGGTTTTTGTACTTGATATTTCACTTCTTTGTCCAGGTCTACATGGCTGTAGTCCAGTGTAATTCCTAGCTATTTTATTTTCATTACCTGTTCAAAACTGATGCCATCGATTTCTATTTTACAACTGATTGGTTCTTTGCTGACTACTACTGTTTTACAACCAACTCAGTTTTCTGAGTTGAGATTTGTTTGCCTTACGTTAAATATGTAGACTAGTCTTTGAGACTATCTTCATCTTGGGCGATCAGTACTGTGTCGTATGCGTAATAAAGTAATTTTACTTCATTGTTTCACATTCTGTATCCCCTTTTTTTGTTGACACTTTTGTAGATTTCATTCGTGATTAAATTGAAGTGTATAGGGCATACTATGTGATCTGCAGGTGCCTATAGGTTCTGTAAGTTGTTCTACTATTCTGCTTTCAATTTTGTTATTTTGAAAGATGTTTTTACCATTTTTTATCATATCTAAGGGATCTTCTGTATTATACAGAAGATTTACTAAATCTTTGAGCTTTAACATGTTAAATGCTTTATTTAAGTAAATCAGATACAGAAATGCTAGTCTAATTTACTCTAGTGATTTCTCAGTAATTTGGTTTATGAGAATTTTACATCTGTACACCATTTTCCATTATGAAAAACCTGTTATGTATCTGCTTAACTGCTCCTCTGATTCTTTCGGAGGTAAACGGAGGTAAATTTCTTGTAAACTTTTCGTTGTAAGTTTTTTAAGAGTAGTATTTTTAATAAGTTAATACTTCTGTAGTATCTACTGTTCTTATGAATTAATTGAATAGTAGAATTAGTTCGCTAGTTCTTCATTCTTCCGGTATTTTATTTATTAATTAATGTTGAAAGTTGTTATGTTATTTTGCTGCTACACAATATTTCAACAAATCGTTTGGTATTCCGTCTGTGCCTTCAGCTTTTCTGTTCTTCAACTTTTAAAGTGTTTCTCAAACTACCTGTGTATTTGTATTACCTTCTTCGTTTGTGGTAATTTCTGCTGTTTCCCGTTCTAGCCTCATGTGTTTTTCGTCTGCATATAGTTTGTTTCTCACTTCATTTATCAACATAACTCTGTTATCTGACACTAGATATATACGAATGACGTGATTTGGTATGAAATTTTATATTGCTTATGTCTCACCGGCGTATTCGATTCCAAATTAAACTTATTTCTGAGAAATAAATCCAGTATTTTGGGAGCATTCTACATTAAAAATTTTTTTAATGTATCCCCTATGGCGGTATAATTTCAATATTAATCCAATACCGCGCAGAGTATAAGAATTTTGCAATTTTGATTAATTTTTTGGGACTTTTTTAATATACAAAAAAAGTTCTGTTTCTTGAATCTGTAAATTATTTTGTTATTATACTGTACAAATATTACCTGCTTAATTTTCTTATACCAAAACACCAATCAGCTCATATCTATAATAATAATAAATTACTAAAAATTATTATAAATATTAAATTATAATATACTGTTTACAAGTAATCGATAATATGTAAGAAAACCCTTCGATTTCAGTTTAAATTGATATAAATATTATATATCCCAAAAAGCGTTATAGAGTTTATGTTCCCTCTGGGTATGTTTCATTTTTCTTGGCATCCTTTGAAAAAATTATTCTATAAATTAAGGCTCCAATAAATCCAGCTAAAAGGGGACCTAACCAGTATACCTGAAATGTATATACAAAGATTAGTATTATTTAATATAGAGAAAGTAATAAAATAATACTATGATAGAAATGACAGTTGCGGCTTCGCCTGACTTCGAAAAGTGAGCTAGGGCTACCACTTAAAGGATGGACGGGACCAACGAAACTAGTCCTGAGAGTTGCAACTCTTAACATCCGAAGCATGACAGGTAAAGGAAGAGAACTCATCGATTCATCAGAGAAGAAAAATTGGTGTACTTTGTGTGCAGGAAACTCGTTGGAAAGGTAATAAGTCGAGAGATCTTGGAGATGGATCCATAGTAGATATATAGTAGTTTAAACTAGAAGAATTTAAATGCCTTGGTTACTACATAACAGAAAATAGGATACTTGATCGAGAAATTGGGCACAAAATACAGGCTGGTTGGTTTAACTGAAAGCAAATAAGCGGGGAACTTTGTGATCGAAAAATAGGTGAAGGACTGAAAAGAAATATATACAAGAGTAGGGGGGACCTGCGTTGGTGTACGGCACTGAAGTGTGACTGCAATTGTTTGGTCATGTCAGGCGTATAGATTAAAACTATGTGGTATGAAGAATAGGCCTGTTAAGTTGATGGAGGAAGAGGTAGAGAAAAACCGAGGAGAAGATGGAGGTACTGTGTGGCAGAGGACTTGAGAGAGAAAGGTTTAGGTGAAGAAGGCCCGATGAACAAAAATGAGTGGCGACGAAATGACTACGTAACAGCGAGTCTTGAAAAGAAGAAAAGCTAAGGAAGAATATGTGGAAGAAGGTGCTAATAATAAAAATCTGCAAAAGAATAGTTCCAAGAGGAAGTGGATGAAAGTGAAGAGAGTAATTATTGGAATTTACATAGGTCCAAGTAGCATAAAGAAATACGATGAACACAAAGAAATGGAGATGGTAAATAAAACCAATTATATTAAAAGGACATGGGAAAGCTGTAACCTAAAAACATTTATTAAGATTTAAGTAGATGTCACAACAAAGCAAAATTGCTCCGTTATAAGAAAGTAAGATATAAAAATGTTTTGTGATTAGGCCAAAAGTGTTTTATATGGGAACATAAGCCATGATTAAAGAAGAGTAAAAACTGAAAATTTAAATAAGAAAATTTCTAAGGAGAACCTATGGGAGAAAGGTGAGAGAAAGAATTTGATAAAAAGAAACACTGAAATGCATTTATTGAATGAGCTAACTAATAACTAATCTGATAGCACAGAGGAAGAAGTAAACACCTTCTACCATGACTTAAGCAAAACATTCAATAAAACTAGAAAAGAAGAAGTAAATTTAATTTAAGGTGACTTCAACTCGAAGGTAGGGAAAGAAAGAGATGGAGGAGTAGTAGGAGAACACGGAATGGGAACACGTAATGAAAGAGGTAAAAGACTAGCTCAGTTTTGCAAAGATAACGAACTCATTATCAAAAACAAATGGTATCAACTCCCAAATCAAAGAATATATACATGGAAAGCACCTAGAGATGATGGTGAAATTATAATAAGAAACCAAATACATTACATAACAATAAATTAAAAATTCCGAAATGCCCTAATATCGGCTAAAGCGTACCCAGCAGCAGATATAACAAGTGACCACAATCTGTTCTAGCAAACATGAAACTCAAGTTAAAAACAACTGCCAAAACACCGAGAATAAATCTGAGAAAACTAAAAGAAACTGATATATACCAACAAATCAAAGAACAAGTGCAAAAAGAAGTTTAGAAAGTAGAAAGGCAAAAGCTACAGATAAATAGAGGAAAGTAGAGGAGATCTTGAGAAATATCACAAAGCAAAAACTTCAAGGAAACACATCAGCTAAAAATAAACAATGGATCACACAAGATATAAAAGAACTGACGACGAAAAGAAGGGCACACAAGAATAAAAACGAAAAAGAGTACAAAAAAATTAATAAAATAGTCAAACAAAAATCAAAAAAGCTAAGGAACTGTGGCTATCAGAAAAGTGTGAAAAAATAGAAAGGTTAGATAAACAATATAACAGTTTTAACATACACCGGAAAATTAAAGAGACAGCTGGCATATACAAGAAGAAGGGTATCGGAAATATCATGGATAAAAATAGCAATATAATAACGGAATATACAGATAAATTAAACAGATGGCAAAAATACATAAAAGAGCTTTTCGAAGACAACGAGAAAATTGAGGTCATTATAATGGGCCACCAATCACCAAAGACGAAATTGAGAAAGTGCTAAAACGTATAAAAAATAAGAAGGCCATGGGACTAGATGAAATACCTACAGAAATCTTAAGAATATTAACAAAAATAATATGGGCACTCTAATAGAATTATTTAATGACATTTATTATATGGGAGAGATTACAAAAGAATGGTTAATATCAATATTCATTCCAATACCCAAAAAAACGCAATGAAGTGTGAAGAGCACAAAACAATTAGCTTGATGAACCATATTCTAAAAGTGTCCTTACGAATGATACACGAACGTATCTGTAAAAAGCTAGATCATAGAATAGCTGAAAACCACTTAGTATTCAGAAAAGGCTTTGGCACCAGCGAAGCATTATTTACTGTACAAACACTAATCGAACGATACCTAGATGTCAACTGCAACGTATTCATATATCTAGTGGACTTCAAAAAAGCTTTCGACAAAGTACAACACCGAATAATGGCAAAAATACTGCAGAACACAGAATTAGATGATGAAGATATGAGAATCATTGCCAATCTATACCGATAGGAGAAAGCCATAATACGAATAGACCAACAAAAATTAAAGAAATACCTATAAATCGTGGAGTACGACAAGGATGTGTGCTTTCCCCTTTACTTTTTAATATGTATTCAAAATAATTGTTTAAAGTAACATTAGAAGATGTAAATGAAGGCATTTTTATTAACAGAGCACATCTGAATAATCGTAGATACGCAGATGACACAATACTCCTTGCGGACAAGAGAGAAGGACTTGGACAGATCTTGGTTGATCGCATTACCCAATACTGCGAAAGGTATGGAATGACAATGAATACAAATTAAAAAAAATCATGTTGGTAAGCAAGAACAAGATTAAGGAAGACAGTATTTATGCTAAAGGAAAACTTTTAGGCAGGATGCACAGATATCAGTACTTAGATTGCGAACCAAATGAGGAATGAGATGCTTTTTATAAGATGAAAATAATATTATGCAATGGAAAACTAAATATTGAAATTAGAATTAAAGTATTGAGATGCTGAGTGTTTTCTGTCCTATTGTAAGGAGATAAGGCCTGGACAATTACAGAGGCGACAGAGAAAAGACTCATTAACTTTTAAATGTGGTGTAATCGAAGAATGTGGAAAATATCTTGGACACAATACATAATAAATGCGGAAACGCTACGAAGAATAAAAAAAGATAAAGAAATACTCAACACTAGAAAGAAAAGGAAAATGAGCTACTTTGGTCAAATACTAAGAAACGACAAATACGAATTGATGCGCCTGGTCATACAAGAGAAAGTGGAAAGCAAAAGAGGACCGGGGAGAAGACACACGTCCTGGTTAAAGAATCTGAGAATGGAGTGGGAAAACGTTAATAGAACTTTTCAGAACGGCTGTAGATAAAGTCAAATGGGCCATGATGATCGCCAATGTCCTTAAGGATGACGCACGTTAAGTAAAAAAACTATTAAGTAATATTATCTTTTGTGGTTTGTGGTCAAAGCAACAAATATCAATGAATTATGCACCTGGAGAGAATGAAAAGTCAACATGATTTAGGTATAGTAAAAGTAACTAGTTACACGTCATGAAAAGCAAGCAACTTAAAGTAAAAAATAGGTGTAAATGTAAACAATGAACCGTGTTGCAATCATGAACATACGAGTATACCTAGGGTCAGTTATAAATTTAAACTAACACTTGAAAATGTATTTAAACTTTGCCTATTATTAACCAAATCTGGCAACGATATAACTTAAAAATAAAACTATACGATTCATGCAAATTACCCTAATAAAGGAAACCGAATTTAGACTTAAATGAAATTTAATTACAAATAATTATAATGACGATGGTCACTTAACAACTAAAAGTTAATAACTTGTATAACCAACAAATGTTGAACAGAAATATTTTACAAAAACTTTGTTTTAATTTTTTTTTAAGTACTAAAGCAGTTCAACGTTCAATGGTACAAGCAGATAATAAAAACGTACCCAATGGCGATCCCAGGTGTTATTTAAAAGAGCTGGGCCAAAACTTCTAGCAGGATTCATATTGGCACCGCTAAGACCACCCTATAAGAGAGGTTTTATAACATTACTTTAAAACTCATCTTTTTGTAAATATATACAAACATAATTAGTAAAGTACAAAAAGACAAATAAAGTTACAATTTTGCTAATAGTGTAATATTTAAAATAAGTTTCTTCTTCTTTAGCTGCTATGTTTATTTAGATTATTGACAACCAATTGCATATCTTCATTTTGTCTACTACTGCTCGGAATAGTAGTTTTTAACCAGGAAGTTCTTCTTTTACGTCTTCCGCGTTAGCCTTTAATTTTACACAAGATAATCAACTGCAGCAGGCTATGTTTGGCATTTCTCATAACGTGTTCAAAAGATCCTATTTTTTTTTCTAATGGTGTTTAACGCTTTTCTCTTTTCTGGAAGTCCACGGAATTTTTAGTATTCTTTTATATGCCTATATTCCAAACGCTTCTATTTTTTTACATATGGTATGTGTCATGATTCACTAGTTAATACCATATAAAAAAAAACTGAAAACATAACATGGGAGTAAGCGCACAGTGAAATCCGCATATCAGGTCTTGTTAATATTGTTTTCAATTTAATAAAGGCCTTTCTTGTCTGCTCAATTCACATCGGACCAATTCACATAGTGTTGTTTTATTGTTCAAATGAAAAACAATTAAGGTATTTATATAATGCAACTCTTTCGATAGTATTATAATTTTATGTGATTGTATCTTCATTGCTGTTAATGGGGCGATCCTTTCTCACTTCATTGATTTGGATTTATTATTTTGAGAAAGTACAAAAAGTGGGCTTTATCCGATCATTGGGTATCCCCCTCGATCTATAGATAATATTAAATAGATCCACCAGTACAGACAAAATTCTCAATATATGAAATCTTTCTAATCTATTTTTAATAATTACCTACTACAATTATTTATCATTTATTTAGTTAATAAAATTTTGTTATTTTATGAAATAATTTTGTATCACAAAATCCTAAAAAATACTTACTCCAGCCATTGCTAGTCCAGTTACTGCTAGGCCAAGTCGAAGAGGTAGTGAATCGTGCTTCGTGGCATTTCTGCTATCCCAAACTGCACAGCATACCCAAACCAAGAGCAATGTTAAAATAAATTCTGATAGGAATAATTGAAATGCAGTTAGATGTTGAGTAGGTCCTGGCGAACACAATCCAGCGATACTTAGGATTGAGTTGTGTATTAAAAGCTAAAAATTAACAAAGGTCATATAAGGTAGAATAAAATTAAAACATTGTATTACTATTTTTTTGAGTTTTGACACCAAATTTCAAGATAAATAAAAATATCTTTACTACTTGCTTTGCAGGTGCACCTACCAAATATACCCAATAGAATTCCATAGAACGCAGATCCAGCAAAAAGACAAAAGAGGGAATGTACAGGTAGTAAAGGGCAAAAATATTGTTAGACAGGAAGTGCCATTTTGAGAGGCCACTTTAAAAAAAAAAGGTATTAAGAAATCAAATTTAGTTGCGTCATGTTATTGTTTGTCTCTACTGTCACATGAAAGCTTATTTATATTGAAGTTTTTTAACAGTTGTGTCACATTTTAGATTATTATCGTTATTAAATAATTAAAACTTTATTGTGCTCTAGTATTAAAAGAAGAATTTTAAGTGTTTGGAACATGTGCTTGTAATAATATTGGAACATAGTGTTTGTAATATCTTTAAAATATATACAGTTTTTATAATACAGTGTAGGTAAAAGTTTATGGTCGGTATGGTAAAATTTACCAGGATATCTTACACAGATATACAATCATATTTTTAGCGAATAGACAAAAATAACAGTCATATCTCCCCTTGGCCTCCCCTCCATAAATCTTATTGACGCCCATTGCTTCCGATCAGAGATATTTTACATATTCTCTATCCTGATCCTAATAAAGCTAAGAAAATAGAGGTGGTTCCTCTAGGATTGTTTACCAGTATTCAAATGAACGAGTACACCAACATATTGGCTATTATCGTTTATGTGTATATGTATTGAAGTGAAAGAAACTAACAAAGGATATATATATTATAACTTGAAAGATAAAATAAACAATACAAATAGTACTTACATTTACATTACATATTGTGAAATCGCGAATCGTCTAAATTGACATTTAAAAACATATTTTTTTCCACTTTTCTTGTTACCCGTGTTCTTCTTTTATTCAAAATTAAACCAGATTTTGAACATGTGTTCACAAGAAACAGACTTTGTTACAATACTACAATATTTTATGAATATAGTGGTTAAATTAGGGTATATATGGCGATGATACCACGGTAATGGAGAGTTCCAATCTCCGTTCGAAATTTTTTGTAGGTAATATATCATCAGACAAATATATGTCGACTTCTTTTATATCTCTCGATACAGGTGTATGTTTAGATGAGTCATGTCGAATTAATTCATCAAAAATACACCATGGACTTAAGTCATCTTTATCAGTTTCTTTTTCTTGTACTGGATGATTTTCAAGATTTACTAAACTTATGCAAAGACTCGTTTCATCCGTTTTCCATAGTTAAAGAAGGAGCTTTTAAAAAGTTTGCAGGATGGATTCCTGGATATAAACCATCAACAAGAAAAACTTTGTGAGATTCATTAATTCATGAATGTTATATCAAAACTGAGCAATTTATTAGATCACAAGTTGTTAAAGAAGTAGAAAATATCTGTATTACTACTGACCTCTGGACATTTGGAGTAACTGACATTAACAGGACAATATTTAACCGAAAATTTAGAATTTAAAACGGTTTTACTAGGCTGCTGCCATTTTTCTGGAAACCATAATTCAGAAAACATCGCTTCTGAATATTGTTCTGAAGCTATTTTCTTGTGGCATTGTAAATTAATTACTATTTATAACTGGGAATAAGCCACAATTAAAGATAAAAATACGTTTATTGACGTTTCAATTTCCAATTCGGAAATCGTTCTCAAATACAAACAGTAAATTAAACAAATTTTGTTTTTTGTTACATAGTGAAAAAATTCTTCTAATAATTTAATTTTATCTGACTCATTTATATTGACAATTCAGACATACATTATGCATTTTAAAGTAGACGACTTTAAATGCATAATGCTAAATGAGGCCAATTGTGTCGCAAATTCCTCGGCAGAATGTAGTAGGATCTGGTTACCAATATTGAAAGAGGAAGTTATTAATAAGAAAATACCAGTATTAGTAAGTCAGTAACATATGGAGGATACATCATTTATGTTTTTAAATAACGTAACATATAAAATCAGAATTTTTGATGTTTGTTGAAGGTAAACTAAATTCACGAACAAATACTTACAATGTTGGGATAGTATTATGAGGTTTTTTTTACTGGTTTTTCCCTCATAATTTACTATGGTATCACTAACAGGAGAATTTTACTGTCATCATGTCATGTGTTTGTCTTTTTAAAGACGAATTAGATGCTATGATTTTTTCTGACGGATATTCTCAAGTTAAAGTTGATTTCATGTAATCGAATGAACTATCTTATAAGTAAAGTCGTCCCAGGAGCGCAACTCAACAATATTGGCAATATCATTTTAAAGTCGTCTACTTTAAAATGTATAATGTACCTATGTCTGAATTGTCAATATAAATGAGTCAGATAAAATCAAATTATTAGAAGAATTTTTTCACTATGTAACAAAAAACAAAATTTGTTTAATTTACTGTTTGTATTTTGAGAACGATTTCCGAATTGGAAATTGAAACGTCAATAAACGTATTTTTATCTTTAATTGTGGCTTATTCCCAGTTATAAATTAAATTTATCGCTTCTGAAATTAGTGAAATTATTAATCAGTGGGGTCTAAAAACGAAAAGTAAATTTTGCGTTACTGATAATGCCTTTAATATGGTCAAAGGTATAAAAGATGTTTTGGAATGAAAACATTTAAATTGTTTTGCGTATACGGTAAATTTATTGGTGATATGCACTTAAATGCTGTCGTGTACAAATAGATAAAATAAAAAGTCCTTTTTTCGACAATTCGGCAAAAAACACATTTAAAAAAAGTACCTTATCTTCAAAAAGGCTTTTAAAGTATCAATTAAAACATAACAAAGTTCACAAACGGCCAATCCAAGACGTGGAAACTAGGTAGAACTTCACCTATTACATGTTAAAAAGAATCACCGAGTTAGAAGAGGCAATCCATTCCACATTGGTATTAGTTAATACAGACTTAGACCAAATCTAAATAAAAAACACTGAATTATTTGTTCTCAACTTTTTCAAATTTTACTTCTTCTTCTTCTTAAGGTGTCGTGCATTTCTGCGTAGGCGTCCACCATACATCGTCTTGTCAGGTGAGATGTTAAATATTCTGGAATAAATAATTCTGTTTTTAGCAGCATTGCGAAGCATTTCATAGCTGTGGATTCCTGTCCATTGTCGAATATTGCGCAGCCATGACATTTTTTTACGTCCGAGACCTCTCCTACTCTCTATCTTCCCTTCGAGTATCAGTTGCTGAAAAGTGTATCGTTCTCCTCGTATAATGTGCTCCAAGTATGCAGTCTTCTTACTTTTTACATAATTAAAAAGTTCCCTATCCTGTTAGCCCGCTCATCTGAGTACTTCCTCATTTCTGACCCTGTCCGTCCATGATATTCTGAGCATTCGACGCAGGCACCACATTTCGAACACTTCAAGTTTGTTAATGGAACTGGCCTTTCACGTCCATGCTTCCATTCCGTACAGGAGAACAGGCCACACGTAACACTTAAGCATCTTGTATCGGAGGTTGAAGTCCAATTTACGATCAGTCAGAAACTTACGAAGCCTCAAAAAAGCATTTCTGGCTTGTTCAACTCTGCTCTTTATTTCGTTCTCGGGGTCACAACCCTCATTCAGCAAACATCCCAAGTATTTGAATTGCCTGACTTGTTCAATTTCTTCTCCAGAGACATATATCTTTGCGTTGGGGTAATTATTTCTACTTATAATCATTGATTTTGTCTTCTTGATATTTATTTTCAAACCCCGAGCTTCACTTGCAAGAGTTAGATCATTTAAAAGGCATTGAAGATCTTCGATGTTGTCTGCCACTATGGCTGTATTATCGGCATACCTGATGTTATTAATAAATTTGCCTTTAACTTTAATACCCTTATTAGAGTCTTTCACTGCTTCTGCGAAGGCTTTTTCTGCGTATAAATTGAACAGCATTGGGGACAGTATACAACCTTGCCTTACTCCTTTTTTAATGGAGAAAATCTTTTGTTTCGTTGGAATTTTGAAGACGTACTGTTGCTGTCTGATTCCAATACAGATTGGCGATGGTTCTTATATCCTTTGCATCCAATCCCAACTCTTGTAGGTATTTTTATCATCAATTCATGTTTTACATTATCGAATGCTTTCTCGTAATCGATGAAACAGATAAAAACATCCTTTCTTTGATCTAAACAATTCTGTATCAATGTTTGCATACTAAAGATCGCTTTTCTCGTGCCAAGTCCATTTTTGAAACCAAACTGACTCCATCCACTGACCTCTTCACATTTCTTAAACAATCTAGTGTGAAGTATTCTCGGGAAAAGTTTCAAAAAGTGACTCATTAGGCTTATTAGTCGGTGGTCCTTGCAGAAGTTCGCACGTGGTGTTTTTGGTAGGGCGATAAATGTAGATCGAAGCCAATCTTTTCGAATCTGGGCCGTATCGTAGATGTCGTTAAAGAGCTTGACAATAATGTCTAGGTTTTCTTCATTAAGTAACTTGATTGTTTCTGCATACATATCATCTGGTCCTGGGGTTTTGTTACTTTTTAGTAGTTTGATAGCGTGTACAATTTCAGCTTTAAAAATACTTGGGCCATACAAATGGTCTCCCAGTTGTGGTGGTTTTTGTGTTCTGTCATCATTGAATAAATTGGCTGTGTACATTTTCCAAGTATTAAGTATATCGCTAGTGTCCGTTATTAATTCATTTTGGTCATTATGTATACCAGTGACTTGTTTTTTCTTGAAGACACCAGCAATTTCCTTAATTTTCTTGTGAAGATTGAAGCTGTCGCCGAGTTTTTATAGGCTTTCAGCCTCGGCGCAAAGTGTAGTCATCCAGATCTCCTTCGCCGCTATAATTTCTTTACGAATTTGACTGTGTATATTTCGGTACCCTACTTCGTCCTGCTGATCTTACAATTCAACTCAAATTTTACGGCCGCTTAAAAAATAAC